TCGCGGCCGAGTTAATTACTCGAGAGGTAATTGTCTTGTAACTTGTTACGCATCCGACAACAAACACGGGATCGTGTGCGTTTATCGTATAATCGACGGAGAGAAGGCTTTATTGCGCGTATGTGGTAGAAACAACGTTGCAAACATCGTGGGCACGAAAAATTTCTCTCTATCCCTATGAATATCTTTTCCATTGGATAACTCGTCAGTAGGAAAATTCGTCGGTTCCGTTAATTAGCCCCTTCCCGTGCTTTAACGAGTCTGACTCGTGATGAAGATATTGGGCCAAACACGAATATCACGAGCCACGCACGTGAACGGTAATTCGGTCCAAACACGAATATCACGAGCCAGACTCGTGGATAGGAAATCGGGTCAAACGTAAATATTACGAAATGTTTTCCTACTTACGATTGTGATTGAGTTTTAGATCCTATCAACAGGCCACGAGAGTCGGTCACGATTCTCATAATCTCTGTTACAAAGCAGTTGACGCCTACCGTTTGGGCCCGGATTTCATTGAGCTAAATGACACGGGACGGGGTTAAATCGATTACTCGTGAGGATTATATACAATGTCGATAAAAGATTCACGAATCGAGTGTAAAAATCCTCAACAGGGTCGACGTATGATAAATGAGCTGTTCACTGCACAAATCGATTAACTTCCCTTTTTGAAAAATATAAATGGTCACGTCTATATTAAGTGCTTAAATTTAGGATTTTTCAAAATGTGGAGTTAATCAATTTGCGCAGTGAACAGCTCAAATTTAGTCCCGTTTCGGATATCCAGATCATCACGCGTGTTATTATAGGAGACGAAAAATTTCTCTCTTTTCCTATGAATATCTTATCCATTGGGTACCGAAAATTCGTCAATTCCATTAATTAAATCGGTCACTTCTAAGCCTCACATGCAACGCCGATAAAAGATTCACGAAACGAGTGGGAAAATCCTCAACAGGGTGGACGTATGATAAATTTAGTCCAGTTTCGGGTATCCAGATGATCGCGCATGCTATTATAGGGCACGAAAAATTTCTCTCTTTTCCTACGAATATCTCGTCCATCGGATACCTAAAACTCGTCAATTTCGTTAATTAAATCGGTCACTACTAAGTCTCACATGCAACGCCGATAAAAGATTCACGAAACGAGTGGGAAAATCCCCAACAGGGTCAATGTATAGTAAATTTAGTCCCGTTTCGGGTATCCAAATCATCACTCGTGTTATTCTAGAGCACGAAAAATTTCTTTCTTTTCCTACGAATATCTCGTCCATTTTATACCGAAAACTCGTCAATTCCGTTACTTAAATCGATCACTCGCGAGCCTAACATGCAATGCCGATAAAAGTACGTAAAACGACTGTAAAAATCCTCAACAGGATGGACGTATGATAAATTTAGTCCCGTTTCGGGTATCCAAATCATCACTCGTGTTATTCTAGAGCACGAAAAATTTCTCTCTTTTCCTACGAATATCTCGTCCATTTTATACCGAAAATTCGTCAATTCCGTTACTTAAATCGATCACTCGCGAGCCTAACATGCAATGCCGATAAAAGTACGTAAAACGACTGTAAAAATCCTCAACAGGGTAGACATATGATAAATTTAGCGCAGTTTCGGGTATCCGGATTGTCGCGCGTGTTAATATAGGGAAGAAAAATTAGTCCCCGCGAAGCTAGCGACCCGGTATGATTCTAACGCGATAGCAGCCAGAGGTAATTGCTCGTAGTACGTAACACAGAGGTAAAATAGAAGCGGTTGAACCGGCGACTCCCTCGGCCTTCTTTCCTCCGCTCCGTCTCGCCTCGCCACGCCTTACACTCGCCGCGACTCCCCTTTCGCGTCTGCCGATACCTCGGCGCGAGTACTCCGTTGAGCAATTAGTATCGGCCGGTGGTTGCGTCGGCGGTGGTGGCGGTGGTGTTATACGGGCTAATTAATTCGGCCGGGAAGCTCGGAAGCATGTGCGGGCGGAGCCTGCATCCGGAAGGTAAATATCGGGCATCGCGGAGGACGCTATCGCGCGAGCAGCCAGCGGCTACAAAGGATCGCCGATAATTCGTAATTGCTCGTTATTATCGCGCCGAGAAATCGAACACGTCCAACCGTCGCCGGTTCTTGTCACGGGATGCATTGATGCGTCTATTAGCGGGAATTTGCAAGTATGATTCGATGCAAAAACGCCTCCTTCGATGTAACGCGTCGCGGTACACCGTCTCGGTTCCATCCTTCGCGCGCATCAACGCACTCTGCGGAATAAGCAGCCTTTTCCTAACGCGGCCAGCTTTAACGTCTCGCTGCCGTGGTCACCTGTTCGCTGAGAAGCTTTTCCAGCTCGGTACGTAACCTCGTCGCGCGTCTGCGCGAGTACGCTCGAGTCGAGCCGAGAGTAATCGCGTTGCGCGGACGCGAGTAAGCACGTACTTACGTTACAGTGTCCGTGAACGTTGCTACGTATACCGACGCGTGTATAGGTTCGGCGAACGTGGTCGAAGGACAGAGCGGAGGAAATCGTGGAAAATTCTAGCGATGGGAGCCCGGTGACTGGAGATGATCGTCCGGCCTCACGGCACCGGTCGACTCTCTCGCGTTGCAACTTGTCCGCGAGAAACGCGCGCGGCCTCAATGAGTCGGCTAATTAGTTTATTACGCCGCGCTAATTTGTATGCCCATAAATCGCGAGCGCGGCAGTACGCGGAACGCGTAACGCACCTCGAGCGGACGTGCACGCGGCCCGTTTCACATGCGTACCAGTGGCTCGTATACGTCTTGTAAATATGACAGAAATGACCAGCAGATTTTCGAGCCGCTCTCTCGGAAATCACTCCATCGGAGCCGTCTAATCGAGCGTGACGCGTCTAATCGGGTATTCGCGATACACTGTTAGAGATTGCGACCGCGCGAGAGGATATAAATTAACGTGGCGAAATTTTCAACGCGAACGACGAATTAACGACGAGTCAATTAACGCGATCGCCACTCGATCTAATCCCAGCGCCCGAAGGACCCTTGCTCCTCCGGAGCACCGGTTATTCCGGTTTACTTTCGATCGGAAAAATCGACGATTCGTACAGAGGAAAGTCGACGGGGAAAGGGAGGACGAAAGGGAAAAAGTGTAGAAACGAGAAGATAAACGAGAAAGTCGGATGATCCGCGGTACGAGGATCGTCGCGATGGTATATCGGGCGAAGGATCGAGAGATCGGCTGGATCCTGCGCCTGGCCGCAGCGATCCACCAAGGTCCGCGCCGGCCACGAACAGTCGCTTCCTCCCTGCGTGAAATTACAGTGTTTACGCGAATTAGATTTCGGTTTCGGTAATTTTCAGTTAATAACGAAGCGAACTGGCCAACGAACGAACGAGCATTAAGTGCGGCTTCGAGCCCATTAATGCTATTATAATGTAAAAGGCTACCTACGCGTTCCTCTCGTACTCTCCTTCTCTATCCGCGTGTAGCCGTAACACGAACCTGCATGTACGATGCTACGCGCATTCGATGTTTATGGCGAAAGCCAATAAAAATGAAGGGAGGAAACTTTGCCAGCCTTAGATCTCGCTTATCGTTCGCATTACGTTCAGGCTACCTGCATTATAAACTCATTTCCGATAAATCGGCCCAAATAAAAACAGCCGCCGAAGCCTGCGCAAACCGCTTCGCTCTTTCCCACCACCTCTTTCCGCCTCTTTCTTCGCCTTCCACCGCGTTCCTCCGCCACCATGGGGCCCGCGTTCTCCGAGTCCGCCGTCCAAATCCGCGGAGACTCGCTCTGCTGCTCTCCGAAATCCCGATGGTGCGCCTCGTTCCAGCCGGTTGACCCGTGTTCCCCGTGTTCCGGGTGCATCGGGTGCATCGGGTGCATCGGGTGCATCGGGTGCGTCGGGTGACGCGGGACGCTCGTGCACGGTCTAGATAGCTAGAGGAAAAATAGAGATAGCCGCGTTCGAGGCTCGATAACGAACCGAAACGATGGGCGAAATTTATTAGGGACTGGAAACCGGTTGGCGAGGGTAAAATACCACTGCAAATTGCGGATGGGGAATTATCAGTAGCAGCTTGTAAGCACGAGGTAGGATCCTTCGGCTGGTATGTCCGAGTATCGATCGCGCGTGAAAATGATTCTGGTCGTTACAAGCAAATCGAACGCTGTTACATGATCACTCACAGCATCGAACGTGCCGAAGTGTGGGCTTGTAGGGATCATTAATGCAGCAAGGTCGGTGAAAGGAACGAGAGCTCTGTCCTCCTCCGTATCCCTCTGGCTCCGTGTCTCTCCGTCTCTCGGTGTCTGCGTGGTCGTACATATAATCCGATTCAAAAATAACCCAGCGATCCCGAGCGCCCAACCATCCTCGTAAAGCGGCATCAGCGACACCTCGACAGCCGTGCCCTCTAATTGCCGCTACCCCCGGCTCCGCGTCTAATTTTACGCCGTTTACCCCCGGCCGTTCGCCGATCCTCGCGCCCAGCCCCGAGATCCTGCTGCCGAGCTTCCCGATACGCCTTCTGGAACACCTTGTATCGTGCGTCATTGCGTGCGAATGTCCGATTCTAGTTCTATGAAGGTACAGTGGCTGACATTGATGTCCGGTGAACGGGTGCTCGATCGCGATTTTCGCTCCGGATTTCACCGCGGCCGCGAGGCGCCGCCGAACCATTCGGTGTGTCTCCTTAAACCGACATTTTCCCAACTCTGCGTCGACAGAACGCGAAAATCGGCGCGATTCGGGAAACTCGTGAACGCCATCCAGTGAAAACGACGGGATTTTCTTACCCGTTCGACGAATCTAGTCGAATCTTGTCTAGGAAAAGCGCGGATAACGCGGCGGCCATTGCACTGCGCGACGCGAGTCCGATCTCGGTCGGTAAATAATTTTCGTGGACTGTGCGTGTCCGAACGGAGGAGACGTTTGACAAACGGGCGTGACGTAACGGGTGGCCGGATAGTCCTAAGTGGCGAGTAAAATCGACTTTCTGGTCGCAGATCATTCGACACGAGGAGGAGGAGGAGGAGGTGGAGGAGGAGGAGGTGGTGGCGTCGGAGGAGGAGGAGGCGTCGAGCAAGCTGCCCCGCAGACAAGTCCTGCGAGCAGCACGAGCAGCTCGAGCCAGGTGAATCAGGCGAGCCTGCAACAGGTGAGCCAGCAAGCTCACCAGCAATCGGTACCGCCACCTACTACCACGACACCTCGATCCTCTCAAATGGGAATCTCGACGGAGGAGGCGAGAAGCGAGGAAGAGAGCAACCACCCTAGAGCAGCGCCGACCAGCCCCGAAAGCGAGACCGAGGTCGACGACTTTGCACCGAAGAGGAAGCAACGCAGATACAGGACCACCTTCACCAGCTTCCAGCTGGAGGAACTCGAGAAAGCTTTCTCGAGAACTCATTATCCCGACGTGTTCACCAGGTACGTCCAGTTTCTACGGATCCTCGAGTAGCGGTAGCTCGATAACAGAGCGGCCAGAGAGGATTCGCTAGGATATACCTATGCTTCTAGCCGGAAATACGGAATCTCGTCGGGGTCCTTTTTTCGCCAACCACGCGTACCTTCGTTACGGATGCCGATAGGGAAGCTCGCGTAGCTCCTGGGTCTCGGGTCTGCGCGATAGAGGCGTCTAGTCGGGTTTCCCGTCTAACGGGATCAAGATACGCTGGGAAGTCGCGGAGCCGGCTACTTTAGCTCTCGTCTAGCCGAAATATTCCGCGATCATCTTCGTCATCCGTTCCCTTCGAAAATCCTCGAAAATTCGTGAGTTTTTAATGGACCCAGGCGAATTTACGATCGGATGTACAGGTAGGCCTTGAGTCGGGCTCGTAAAACAAACCCGCCGCGTGACTTGTGCTCGTGACGTCGTTCGCATCACGCTCTATGTCTATGTCTCGCGAGTCTTCTCTTCTTCCTCCGATCGCTCCCGCGGGAATTCGATCGACGCCTCGCGATGTCGGGATACTCGCCGAGGAAACGGGTTCTTCTCTTCTCTCTGCCTCGATCGTTCCTTCGGGGATTGCATCGACTGTATGGAATCCGTAGAATCGTGGAAACTTGACTCGCCTAGCTATCTATCATGACCGGTGTCCTCGGCGCTGGTGTTCGACTCGTAAATTCGCCAGGTCTCGGCGTCAAAAGCGTGATTTCGCGTTATTAAGTTGCCGGCTGGATGGCGGAGGGTAACGTGCCGGCAACGGGGTGTAGCGCAATCTATCTGGGCTGCTTTTTCTCTCGTCTGCTTCTTTTTCGTCGTTGCTTCTTTCGTAGCGTGGAACACCCGGTAGGTAACTAATAGCGGTGTAATCGCTCGTAATAGGTCCGGTCCTGCGGCCACGGTATGGGTTCTCGTAATTAACGAAGGTGGAGGGGGTATGCAGAGGAGCCACGGCAGGTATATAGCCACGGTGTACCATTGACAGAGCGAACGCGCGATCGAAGTTGGTCGGATCGCGAGTTTTTCTCGCGGTAGGTAGGTAGAAGAGAGGTAGGTAGGTTAGGTAGATTGGTGGGGATTAGGTAGGTAGGTAGGTCGGTAGGTAGGTAGTAGATAGGTACCCTAGGACGAAGAGAGACGGCCGGAGAGGATTGGACGGGCGTGCAAGGAATATTTGGCAGCCGTAACGCACGGGATACTTGGAGTAAAAATTTCGAGGGCTATCTTATTATGGTCTGACCGGGCAGACGAGCGGGTCCGGGCTTATCGAGAAATTCCGAGTCCGGACTCGCGTTTCGAGATAAAGCCTAATGTCCGTGGCATCTCGTCGTCGACGCGAAGTCCCCGTTCGGCTCGGCTCCACTCGGGGTCCAACGGGTCCGCTCGGAAAGCGTCCAGGCCGATCCCCCGACGGTTAATCTCGCAATTTCCGCGGCGAGCCTAACCGAGCTAGATCGCGGCTCGATAAAGAAGTCGATCGATTTTTACCAGCCACTTTACCCCGACTACGTAATCCATCGTTTCCTAATCGTGCATCATTTCCTCCTCGCGTCTGTTGCTTCTCCATCTTTTTGCCGTTTTCGTATAAATTAATCTCCCTTCCCCGTCCCTCTCTCTGCCTCTCTGGATACCGCGTCGGAGTATTAATTTCGCACTAATTGGATTTTATGGTCGCTTAGGTTTATTGACTAGCCGATCGGGCGGAGGTAGAGGTGAGCCTTGCTCGATCGCGATGCATATTCATTAGTCGCTTTTACGGAGAAGCGCGTGCGATTGGCTCCATCGAGTGCGCCACAGCGAGTGGTCCCCGTGGTCCTCGTGGTGTCCGTGGCCCCTGGTAGCCGGTAGCTAGAGACATCCTCGGCGAATTTTCGAAAGGCTTCGAAAATCCTGGCGAAAGACACGGAAGGGCGCTGTTCGGGGTGTCCCCGGTCGATCGATCGATCAAATCCTCCGAATCTAGCCGGCGACGAAGCCAGTCCAGATCCCCGAGGACGTTGTAAGCCTTCAAACGCAGCCACTTACTTTTACGAGCTCTTAAGATCTAATTTAGATTAGAATCGTGTGGCTCGAGCTACCGTGCCTCGACTAATCATCCGACGGAGTTCTCCTACCAGCCCCGGTGGGTAGCTCGCTATTGGTTTTCGCTTTTTTTCTCTCCCGTTTGGTTCTCCATCGCGAATGATCGCGCGCGGCCCGTGGGCCGCAAAGGGCACGGGGAAAAGGTGGTAACGCGGATCTCGCAGCGGGTTTTACTTATAAAATTTATTATCGTCCGCTCTCAACGTCCGCCCGGGAAGATCCACCTGTTCCAGAGGGCAGAACACGGTTCCCGGTAAATCATTCCGAAGAATACCTTTATATCCGTGGGGTGGGTCGGTGGTGAGTTTAATAAGGATGATTGTTTCCAGTGATCCGTGGAACGGAACCAGTTCCACGGACCTCTGGCTGCCTCCTCGATCCTGTCCTCTTCGTCTCGGCCACCTTCCTCCTCTCGGCCCCCTTCCCGCTGCGCCCTGCCCCGGCTTGTAACTTCTCCTGTCATTAATCGACCGACGAGTCATGCTCCCGATTAGAAATGCCGCCAGCTTCGTCGGTCCGTTATTCGTTTCTTGGCAAATGAGATTAGTGGCCCTGTGATCGCTAATTAGAACCACGCCACGCTCCGAGATCAACGCTCGTCCGACGCTCTCTAATTTTCCCTCTCGTTCTCTTATTCTTCCTTTCGTTACGCGAACATAATCGACGATCCCGTTGCGCTTCCTTTTATTTTCTCCCTTAATTCTCTCTCTCTCTCTCTCTCTCTCTCTCTCCCATTCTCTTCCACCGTTTTTCTCTCGGCCCGGTCCCCGCTTCGATCGCGGCCCCGAATTTTTGTTCCTCCTCTTTCTCCTCCGCCTTTAATCTCGCTCTTAGAAGATCCCCGTCCATCGATCCAGCCGATCGGATTCCGCTTCCTTTCCACGATTCGCCGGCGAAGCAACTCGCGTATCGAAAAAGAAACGCGTGCTTTTCTCCGAGAGATTCGTTCGCGGTTCGATCGACGACAGTGTGGCTAATCGGTAATTGGCCCTTCACGGCGTACGCGTGTTAAACACATATTACGCACGCATTTCGCACGCATTACGCCACTCGGCTACCGACTTTCCACCGTCTCGCTTCATCGCCAGGATTATTCCCTCGAGAGGGCCCTCGGTGCCAGGATCCTCGTCGCTCCTGCGGCCACTTGCAGCCACTTGCGGCCTCTTACGGCCTCCTGCGCGTTTTAATTTCCGCCCGTGGCCGCGCCGCTGTCCCAATTACGGCGGATCAATTTCCGCCCGGTGCACGCGTTCCTAGGGAAAGTAACCGTCGCGCTAGAAGTCGAAATAGTCCTTAATGCCGTGTCATTCCATCGGTAATTGCCGTTTCGAACGCAACATTCTAGCAGCGGCCGAGACGTATGATTTATACCGAGATTAATGGCGAATTCCGAGGGTTGTTCGTTGACCAACCCGATCGTTAGAGCGGAGATGGATTGCATCGCATTATGCACGGATATTACCTTGTAGCTACCAGCTTTCCTATGGTCTCGCACGACACACATCTCGCTGCGCGAGCGCGATCAACGATCCCTTATCGAGCGGATAACGCGGCTCGAAGACGCGCGAATATTCCGCCGATATCCGGTTGCCGATCCAGGATCACCTGTCGGTCGGAAGGGAGCAGAGATCCTCGAGGAGCGAACAGGATCTCGCGAGTTTGCGGCGAACGGGGGAACCCGATCGCGTGGTAGGTTGATTAAACGCCATTAAAACGGCTCCATTTTTCGCTCGCCACTTCGAAATTTCCGTGTACCGTGGCAATTAGTCGGTCAACGAACGACGAGGATCGTGGAGCTGATACCTTCGTGCGGTATAGTTTTCAATTTTCTTCTCGATAATTCTCTGTTATTTTCGGTACTTTGTCGTAGCGGAGAATTGCAATCGATTCGGATAAATATTCTTGGCTAATTATTTCGGTAATGTAAATGACGAGATGTCGATGACGACTGGGGAATTTATAGGGATATTTAACTATGCGTTGGAATTAACTGGATCACGTGTCACGTGTCGATTAAACGTCGTTGAAGGAGGCTTATTTTTCACTCTAGACTTTGAAAATTTCATATAGGCATCGGATACCGGTTACTCGAGGAGTCGTTGAGAAGAGAAGGATGCAAAGTACAAAGAAATTGGAAAATGTCTCATTTTTCACTCTCAACTTCGAAATTTCCGGTTGCGGATGCAATCCGTCGACTGACAAACGACACTTCGTAGTATACCGATCATTCAAACGGTAAAAACAGAGCAGAGCTGGAGGAGGTAGCAAGAAACTCGAGAGTTCGAGGTTTCGAAACAGAAATAGGATAACTGGATCGCGCGATACGTCTATTAACCCCGTTAAAATATTCACTTTTCATTTTTAACTTCGAAATTTCTATCGACGCGATCGATCAACTGGCAAATTACGATTCGCGACATACCCATCAGTTAAGCAGTCAAAACGGAGCAAAGATGGAAGAAATAACGGGAGGAACTCGTAAATCTGAGCTCTGAAGAGAGAAATAAAAGATCTCGATTAATCGCCACTCTCCAATCTCGACATTGAAATTTCCCTCTATCGATACAATCGATCGACTGACAAACGACTCTCCTTGCTACCGATACCGATCGGTTAAGCAGTAAAAACAGGCAAACATGGTAGAAATGACGCGAAACTCGAGAGTTTGTGCTTGGAAAACAAAGGTAACACAACTGACTCGCGTGGTGCGTCGATTAACCGCCATTAAAATGGCGCATTTTTCGCGCTCGATTTCAAAATTTCCGTCTATCCTCACAATCGATCGGCTGACAAACGACTCGCTGTATCGTTCCGATCGGTTCGCCAGCAAAAACAGAGAAAACACGGTAGAAATAATGCGAAACTCGCGAGTTTGAGGTTGGAAAACAAAGGTAACACAACT